TATTTTTAGTAGTATGTATAATTCTTCTTTGTATTATTACATATATGGGCTTTTATTCCAATTGGAGTCTGTTTATTATTTGTATGTGTTAATATGTTATCAGGTAAAATGATTGGATTTTTCTTCCGTAAAACACAAAATGCTACTGATAAACGATTAAACTTTTTAGGAGAGATTTTAAGAAGTATTAAATTTATTAAATACAATGCTTGGGAAGAACCACTTCATAAAAGATTAAGGAAATTAAGAACAAAGGAATTATGGTGTATGGGAGGTACAATGTCAGCACGATCATCGTTAGTTACATTAATGTTAGAACTATCACCATTCATGGCATTTATATTATATCTTGTTTATATTCAAATTGACTATCATTTAGAAGTTGGGAAAGTTTTTACTTGTATTGCTTATTTTAATGCAATTAGAAGACCATTTATGAATTTTGGATACTTTGTTTCATGTGTAACAACATTTAAAGTTGCTATTGGAAGACTTCAAGAATTTTTCTTGACACCAGAACTTCAACCACAAGATAGAACATCAGCACCAAATTCAGAATATGCAATTAATATGAAAAATGTTAATTATAATTTCCCTAATGGAGAAACAGCATTTAGTTGTGATGAATTAAAAATTAAGAAAGGAGAATTAGTATGTGTTTTAGGTAGTGTTGGAAGTGGAAAGTCATCATTTTTATTATCAATATTAGGAGAATTAGAACAAAGTAAAGGAGAAACAATTATTAGTGGAAATATTACATATGCATCACAAACACCATGGTTAATGAATACTACAGTAAGAGAAAATATCTGTTTCTTAGAGAAATTTAATAGAGAAAAGTATAATAATGCATGTACATGTGCATGTTTAAATAGAGATTTACAAATATTAAGAGGAGGTGATATGTATGAAGTTGCAGAAAGAGGAGCTAATTTATCTGGTGGACAAAGACAACGTATTTCTATTGCAAGAGCATTATACAACTCAAAAGATATTGTTATTTTTGATGATCCATTATCAGCAGTTGATTTTCAAGTTGGATCATTTATTTTTGAACATGCAATGGAAGGATTGTTAGGAAATAAAACACGAATTATTGTCACAAATCAAACATATTTTATTGATAAAGCAGATAGAATTATTGTTATTGAAGATAAGAAAATTGCATTTAATGGTAGTATTGAAGAATTAAAGAAATTCAAACTTAGAAGCATCTCAATTTGTTAAAACTGTAAGTTCTAAAAAGAAAGATAATAATAAAAAACAAGACACTGAAACAGTTCCACAAGATGTTGTTGCTACTGATGTTGTTGAAGAAAAGAGATCTGTAGGAGGAGTTGCATGGAGTACATATTGGCATTATTTTAGAGCAGGAGGATTTATTGGATTAATACTTTGTTTAATGCCATTTGTTGTTAGATGTGCATCGAGAGTATGTTACAATTTATTTATTACATTTTGGACAAATAAAATAGATGAAGAACATCCAGAAGGAGATACATATTATTTCTATGCAAGTTCTATTTCACTTGGAGTACAAATTATTTTTACATTAATGTCAATGATTGGAATATCAATATATGGATTATTATGTGCAAATGGATTACATAAAATGATGATAAGAAATTTATTTGGTACATTATTATCATTCTTTGATATTACACCATTAGGAAGATTATTAAATTACTTTTCAAGAGATTTAAGATTTGTTGATTTTAGATTACCTCAACAATATGAACAATTTTTTGGACAATGTTGTGATATTATAGCAATTTTTGTTGTAATTTGTACATGTTCATATTATTTGATTATTGTTGTTGTACTTGTGTTAATTGCATTCTTTTTATTCCATAAATACTTCGTAAGAGCATCTATTGAAATGCAAAGACTAGAAGGAGTTACACGATCTCCAATATTTATTCATTTTGATCAAACATTATTAGGATTAGCAACAGTTAGAACATATGGTGGACAAGAAACATTCTTAGATGCTGTGATTAAGAAGATGAAAAACAATACTTTATCATATTATACTCTTCAAATGGCTAAATCATGGTATTCACAACGATTAGATTGGTTAGGTGTTGGACTTGCTATTATTACAGTTATGGTTATTGTTATTTTGAAAATTAAAGGAGGAATTGAATCAGGAGTAGCAGGAGTTGCATTGATGAATATCACAACTCTTGGAGGATTTATTACAGATTTCTCACAAAATATATTAGAAGTGGATATTGTCATGCAATCAGTAGAAAGAGTATTAGTATTAAAAGATATTCCTGTTGAAGAAACAAAAGAGAAGAAAAGAAAGTATCAAGAAATACCTGAAGATTGGCCAAAAGAAGGAAAGATTGAATTAAAGGGATATCAATTTAGATATCGTGAAGGATTACCATTAGTTTTAAAAGGAGTAGATGCCATTATTAATGACAAAGAAAAAATAGGTATTGTAGGAAGAACAGGAAGTGGAAAATCAACAATGATGGCAGGATTGTTTAGAATCGAAGAACCTGCAGGTGGGTCAATTCTTGTTGATGGTATTGATACAACAACAATTCCTATGCATACATTAAGATCAAGAATGTGTATTTTACCACAAGAAGCAACAATGTTTAGTGGTACAATTAGAGAAAATCTTGATCCTACATTCCAAAAGAGTGATGAAGAAATGAAACATGTATTGGAATTGGTTAATGTAAATAAAGAATTAGATTATGTAGTTACAGAAAATGGAGAAAACTTCTCACTTGGAGAACGTCAAATGATTTGTATGGCAAGGGCATTATTAAAAGGAGCTAAAATATTAATTATGGATGAAGCAACAGCATCAATTGATATTCAAACAGATATTATGATTCAAGAAATGGTTAGAAAGAATTTTAAAAACTGTACAACATTAACTATTGCACATAGATTACATTCGATTATGGATTCTAATCGAGTTATGGTATTTGATGATGGTCATTTAATGGAAATGGATACTCCAATTAATTTAATTGAACAAGAAACAACAATATTCAATAATTTGGTCCAACAATCAGGATGTGCTGAAGAGCTTAAACGATTAGCAAAAGGAGAAGCATCTATTGCTGAAACATTAAAAGCTGAAGATGAAAAAAAGAAAAAACAAGATGATGAATCATCAGAATCTACTGAAAAACCAAAAGAGTTGATTAATTTAAACACACCATCTGCAAGTCCAATGCCACTTGATGGAACAGTGAGCAACAAAGCTAAATCACCATTACTCAATTTAAATACACCAACAGTAAGTCCATTACCACATCCTATAAATGATGAGAATGAATCAGTAAGTAAAGATAGTAAGAGTTCTTCATCAAAATAATTTGATTGATTTTGTTTTAATTAATGGTTTATGATAATTAAGAATTTAAATTTCTAAATTATTTATTCGTTTATTTTAGAACCTTATTCGTATTTTACTAGTTTAATTGAAGTAATTTTATGTTTT